GTAATTATTAAATAAAATAAATCTGTTTTCTTTATTTTTATTTTTTTTTCTTTAAATAATATATACCGACCGATCCCGGTCCGTATACCTAACGGTCCGTATATATGGATACGGACCGAGATCGGTCCATATATTCCCTAAACAGCAGCTTTTTTATTTTTTTCTTCTAGGTTACAGTTGGTGAACTTTAAAATTTTTCATGTATATATGTTTATACTTACCAAATAAGTATAATTTTTATTAAGTATATATATTTATACTTAATTTAATTTAGCTTTACGATAAAAAAATCCCTCTGATTGCCTATATTCGGACCGATACCGGTCCGTATGCATCTATACGGACCGGGATCGGTCCGTATATGCCCCTTAACAACAGCTTTTTATTTTTTTTTATTATTTCATGCTTAAGTCGTTCTACTCTTGTTTTAAACCGTAACATTCCGAATGTTTACAAGCCAAAGTGGTTAACCTAAATAAAAAAAATTAATTTTATTTGCTTGTGGCTCCGAAAGAGCATTACGTAACATTATCTCTGATAACCTTCAACTTATACGTTCGTGGTTTTGCAATGATATTACTCCGTACCATCGTAAGATAATTTCAGGTAGGCAATCGATGGTTTTGTGGTTCCAAGGGACTGTAGGGTCGATGTACATGCAATTGGTTTTCGCAGGAATGGATTTAGGACACGAGAAGATGGTAATGTCCTTAAATGAAAAGAATAAAAATGTGCACGGGGAGAAGCATCTGGATCTTTTCTAGTATATTCGAACCAAAATCGGTCTGAAAAATGAAAAGCATGGAAGCTTCTGGATTCTTTGCATATATTCAGACCAAAATCGGTCCGTATATATATTCATACTTAATTTAATTTAGCTTTAGGATAAAAATCCCTCTGAGTGCCTATATTCGGACCGATACCAGTCTGTATATATATATATATACGAACCGGGATCGGTCCGTATATTCCCCTGAACAACAACTTTTCAATTTTTTTTGTTATTTCATGCTTAAGTCGTTCTACTCTCGTTTTAAACCGTAACATTCCAAATGTTTGCAAACCAAAGTGGTTAACCTAAATAAATAAATAAAAAAAACAATTTTATTTGCTTGTAGCTCTGAAAGAGCATTACGTAACATTATCTCTAATAACCTTCAACTTATACGTTCGTGGTTTTGCAATGATATTACTCCGTATCATCGTAAGATAATTTCAGGTAGACAATCGATGGTTTTGTGGTTCCAAGGGACTGTAGGGTCGATGTACATCCAATTGGTTTTCGCAGGAATAGATTTAGGACACGAGAAGATGGTAATGTCCTTAAATGAAAAGAATAAAAATGTGCACTGAGAGAAGTTTCTGGATTTTTTCTAGTATATTGGGACCAAAATCGGTCTGAAAAATGAAAAGCATGGAAGCTTCTAGATTCTTTGCATATATTCAGACCAAAACCGGTCCGTATATATATTCATACTTAATTTAATTTAGCTTAGGATAAAAATCCCTCGGATTGCCTATATTCGGACCGATACCGGTCCGTATATATACGGACCGTGATCGGTCCGTATATTCCCCTGAACAACAGCTTTTCAATTTTTTTTGTTATTTCATGCTTAAATCGTTCTACTCTCGTTTTAAACCGTAACATTCCGAATGTTTGCAAGCCAAAGTGGTTAACCTTAAGAAAAAAAATGAATTTTATTAGCTTATTACTCCGAAAGAGCATTACGTAATATTATCTTTAATAACCTGAAACTTATACATTTGTGGTTTTGCAACGATATTATTCAGTACCATTATAAGATAATTTTAGGTAGACAATCGATGCTTTCGTGGTTCTAAGGAATTGTAGGGTCGATGTACATGCAATTAGTTTTCGCAGGAATGGATTGAGAACACGAGAAAATGGTGATATCCTTAAATGAAAAGAATAAAAATGTTCCCTGTGAATTTTTTCCCAATATATTCGGACCAAAATCGGTCCGAATATCTTAATGTGACATATACGGACCGATTTCAGTCCGTAATTAATTTATGCGCCAAATTGTTACCGTAAATTTGAATCATAATGATTCTGCGCTAATTTATTTATATTCAGACCGCTTTCAGTCTGAACATTATTAATGCGTCAAAAATTTTCCCGAAAAAATTGAAAGTTTTTGGTGCGAGGCGCCAATAAGAATTATATGGACCGAAACCGATCCGTATAATACTTATATATATCAACACTTCTCTTCCTTTTCCTCATTTTCTCTTCTTCCTCTCTTTCTTTTCCTTTCTTCCTCTCTTTCTTTTCTCTTCTGCCTCCCGTCTCTTTCTTCTTTTTCTTACTTTTTTTTTTCTACTTCCTTTTCTTTGTCATTTCCTCTCTTCTTTTCTCTCTTCCCTTTTCTTTCTCATTTCCTTCTATTTCCTTTTCTTTCCTCTCTTTTTTCTCTCCACTTCTTCATCTTTTCTTTCCTTTTTTTTTTTTCTGTTTTCTCATATGTATTTTTTAAAATTTTTTGTTGTCTTTTTGTATTGATTTATTTTTATTTTTTTATAATATGTTTATATTT